AGCGTTTAAATTTGGTAGAATACTATGGACAGGATGTGAACACTTATGGTGGGTGGTAGAACGGGATTCCGCCCACAATGGGCGGTGTTTGAGCGAGAGTTTATAACTACTGTTCCGATGGATCTAGAGCGCTCAAATTTGGTTGGAAGGGGAACCCTTATGGTGGGTGGTGGGACCCAACTCCACCTAGAGTGGGTGAGTGGGGAGTAGATTGGAAAATCACGAATCCTGTTACGTGGGCCTAGACCGTTCAAATTTGGTAGGAGTCAGCCAGATGGGAACACTAATGGTAAGTGGCAGGGCTCGGCCCCGGGCGGGCGTGCCCGAAAATTGGCAGTCTGTACCTGAGGCATTAATATTTCTAGGAATAAAGGCGGCGGTATGAGAGTGCTGATAGGAGTGGAATGACTTAACTCCACCCACAGGGACGTACGCGAAATATACTAATTTGGACCTGGGCGTTCGAATTCGGTGTGTAATGACTTAACTCCACCCACAGGGACGTACGCAAAATGTGCTAATTTGGACTGAGGGCATTCGAATTCGGATTGTGTGCAGGCGGTAGATTAGAGACACCAAAGGTAGGTACTAGAAATTAGCTGAACTTGATCGAGCCCGGTGGATTCGCAGGGGGGATGTGGTGGGTGAACGGACATGCGTGAAATGAGCGTGCTTTGACAACAATGACTAACACTCAGTCTAGTTGGAACAAGAAGGAATGAACTCAACGCGCGAAGTGTGCCGGTGTGTGTGTTTTGCTGAAAATCATCAGCTCCTGCTTTTTTGGACCAGAGATTTTAAACTTTAGGATGTGCAGGTGGTGTGTCAACTTCAACACAAGTAGGAAGAGACCCCGGCCTCGGCCGGGCGATCCGACTGGTACATTATGAAGCGCTCAGTCTGTCTGTTGGTTTGTGTGTGGGTTTTGTGTTTCAGTGTGTGTCCTACCCTGAGTTTATAACTCTTGTTCCCGTTGACCTGGAGCGTTCAAACAGGGTAGGTGTACATGCTGATTCGTGGGAATACTGATGGTAGGTGGAAATATTGGGCTCCGCCCACAAGGAGCGAAGCGGCAAAAACCGCTTATTCGGGCAGAGGGCGGATAAAGTTGGCCCCAGAAAGGGCGACAGGGCAGCGGGTCAACTTTAACACGGGAAGAGGAGAGCCCGCCTTCAGCTGGGCCTAATACTCGTAACAATATACAACAAAAAATCAACAACAACAACAGCAAGAGAGGACCAGGATTATAACAATAGCAGAGATTAGTAACCTCGAAGTTCCCAGTAGCACAGAACTTGGATTTCATGCGGTCCCGACATGAAGGCAGTGAAAAGTAATTTTCGATTTTGTCTACAGTTGTCCGTTGTCTACGTAGTTACGCAGCTGCACACGGCTGAAATCTTGTTTGAATACTCTTCCATATCATTTCATTCGCCATAGATTCGTACAAGCCCTACTTGAACTAACGGTGCACTATTTTACAGCAACATTTTCATCTTTTAGTTTGAGAAGGTAGGTGTGTGGCATTACGTGCGTCCGAGGATGCGCGTGGCAAATAGCGCGGCGAAGTTCGTAGTGATTAGAACGACTTCAGCGCCTATCATTGAGGCCCAAACTTGAAGTAGAGTAGGTTAGAAGGATCTTGTGACCCTACTAAACTACTCTACTTTGAGTTTGTGCCCCGAAAATTGGCGCAAGAGTCGTACAAATAGTCACGTACATTGCCGCGCAGGTTGCCGCGCGAGTCCTCGGACGCACATAATGCACGGCCCGTTGAAAAGGTACTACAAAATTATCATAGACTAGATTACCTTTGGCTACCCTCAGTGTACAGGGCGAAATTTATTACTAACAATGGTGCTAGTTATAAATGTAGAGCTCGTGATGATAGAGAGTTATGAAAACATGCAAAATCGCTTGGTTTTGATTTTCGAAAGAGGGTAAAGCTGTGCGTCCTCTGGAGTCATCCAGAAGGAGTTATTCACTATATTGTACTCTGAATGGCCTTATAAGGTACAGTATCACCTGTAGTACTTGCGGTTCCGTTGAACATCGATTTCCTCAAGCAACGCTAGTAACCCCTTATTCATCCCTTTTGCAAGTCGAAACAGTCTTGTGAGTCCTTGGTCGAGGAACACGAGGAACACCACTCATTTCTCACAGAACTCCCGTGAGAAAGTGTGAGCGCTGGCAGCCATCTTGGGTCCAATTTACGTTCTGAGGGATCCAGTCAGTAATTGCATTGGTCCGACGAGCATATCTATATCGCATGACGTGTCCGGCTCTCCTGACCCCCTATTTCTTGGCGCAAGTAATGGCGTCCCTGATTTTCGTTCGTTGACGAGGCTCGGAAATCCGCCTTCTCAGTACTTGCTTAAATCTGAAAGTCCCGAATATTTCCTATCTAGAGTACATTGAATGACTTACGTCGACTGCATGCTCCTTCAGGTTTTGTAAGGTCAAGTTCTCCGAGGCGTAAGTCAAGGCAGGAAGGACGGCAGTGTCGAAAAGGTTCGCGCGGCACCGATATACTTTGTTTTCTTCGCTACTACTTTGTGCTACGAAATGATTCGGACGTAGCAAATATCCTTTTGTTCTTTCCATATCTGGGCCCATCATCATCACATTGATTTCTCGACCGATGTACCCGTAGCTATAGCATTCGCAGATGTTCTTTCCATTCAGCATAAAGGAAGCATGAAGTACCAATCCGTTCCCCTTGAACATCGCCTTCACTAAGTTCAGAAGCAAGTCGTTCTTTATGCAAACGTTGTCGGATTCGACCTGCTCTCGTCACGCCTACTCGATGTTCGGTTACACGAACATGATGTTACCTGAAAAGCGAAGGTGATGTCAGGTCGTCAACTTTCAATCTAATGTCTTCCCATTCCAAATGACGCGTGATGTTCTGGAGAAAGGAAAGAATAAACTTCTTCCTCGACGGTATTTAAGGATTTCTTCAAATAGGTGAAGTGTAACATAACTATATCCTATACTCTTTCGATACTCCGAGTACTCACAGCGTAGATATGATCAATCAGTGAAACCCCTTGGCGTCTTACAATTCTTCGTCGACTCGGCGGCATATCGAATTCCGGAAGAAAAACTGGAGGAACGACATGTCTATCCTGTTTACAGTGGTAGGTAGAGAGGTAAACATGGCCGTCGAAGAGGTTTGATTGGAAATCGTAAATGACCTTTTTCATTGCCCTCCGAGATCCAGTGGTTGTTTCTTGATGACGTCAAAGTCAAGTCGTCAGTCTTGTGAGTGGCGAAACACTGACGGGAGAGCGGATGCTCTTCCCAGGCTCGGTGGCTTCATCCAGAGCAGCTGCTCGTCTCTCTTCCAGATGTTATTTTATCCCTTCTCTGCTCAGCTTCGCATGTTCGGACAGTAATCGGTACCGACTCCTCGTTAGCATATCGGTTCCAAAATTTCTAAAATTGCGGGTCTCGCAAGAACTTGTGAAGTTTCTGCTTGCCGTGCACTATAGTGAAGATATTCGTCGATCCTATTATACCCCTCGATGCTGTCGACGGCCGAGTCTTCTAATATGTGTATGTATACGTATATATATATATAATATATATATACGATGTATATGTATATTTCTATATGTGCAAAGGGAAAGCGCTGATCGCAACTGATGACGGTCTATAGACTTCTTTCTCTGATAACGCGCCCCGATTACGCATTGAAAAACAAAATATCGCGTGAGGCGATGGCCCGATCCTGTGTAGAATTTCGGAGCAGCGATGTCAATCAAGCGAAAACCTTCGATAGAAAATGATATGATTACTCTTATCATGGAACTGTTCGTCACTTAACATACGAGGCAATAGTGAACTAAGGGCTTCTGGAAGTGCAAATTGACGTATGTAGCGATGGCCAAATCGATCAGTTCGGACGGCCTCTGGCATATTCTTGATAGCAAACGTCCAAATGGTGTTGCCTAGCTTTTGTACCATTCGGTATTCATGACCAGGTGCGTGTTGATGACCCGACGCTGCCTATTCCGAAGAACTCGCCGAAGAGTAGGCGATGCGTTCTTGCCTCGGTCAGTCCAGTGACATCTTCCGAGCTTGAATTATTAGGTTTTCGCTTAACACATTGCGTACCGAGTGCATCACATGGTGATGCACGCATATACTTGCCCGCGTGGCCACGTGCATCACATGGTGATGCATGAAATTCGCACTCGAATTTCTACTTTTTTTATGAAGCAATACTAGTCAGTATTCCCAAACTTTTGTTTTCGAACATGCTGAACAACATATCTGCTTGGGACTCCACCACTGAGAAAATATGGAGCTTCCATACACCATAATAGTAATCACGAATCTAACGCTGCTAACAAGTTTTAATGTAGCATTTCTTCTGTACTCTTGTGAACTAATTACAATAATCATTGTATTCGTATATTCGTGTATCAAACTAATACAACCGGACATATGTGATAGAAATGAAACTCGCGAACACTCCGATTATAATTTTGGTAATTGAACTAGAGATCGTAAAGGTGCAGTTATGAATTTGAGAACTCGTGAGAAAAATAATATATGGGCAGTTGTACTGGAATTCAAGAACATGGCTCATAATGAAAACGAAAACTCATAAAATGAAAATGATAGCAAATTAGGGACTACTAGTCTTCCCGCTGAATCAAGAGAAGTAAATGACTCGTAATTTTTGATAAAACAAAATCTCACAACCTTCAACTGGAAAGTGATAACAAATGAGAAGGAATAACAGCTAACATCCCAAATGAAAATGGTAGCGATCTAATCAATTATTCTGAACTTCCCGAACACTTTTTGTGATACAGTTGGTAGCAATTCAGGCAGTAATATTCCCTACATTCAGGACATTTCGTGTTCACTTGCGAGGCCTTAGAACTAGTGTAAGGGGCGCCGTGTTCTTTCGCTAACTTTCAAGCACTCCACACATCGACTACGGTGTTCTCGCTTAGATCCAGGGGCTGTCCGCAGCTGATGTTTCAATGTTGCTTGTGTGGACGAGGGGACACAAAGTCGATGTGTTGAAAGGAGCGCCCCTTTCGCCTGGTCGGAACACTTTGAAGTCGAGAAACTTCGGCCGGTCGGAATTGTTATCGCAAGATTTAGCACTAAAAGTAAGAAGTGTGGGTGTGAGTGTGGGGTACAAGGAAATAAAAGAGCTACCGAGAAGGTGTAAGTTGACCAACAAAATATCTCTTAAATCGCAGAGTGTTAGACAGATTTGTTGTTCTCTATATGCGAAAACATAGAAAAAAAATCGGGTTTCCAGTAGTAGAGAATTCACAATGGTAGAAAAAAACCGTTCCGTGGGGCCAAGTGCATCACGTGGTGATGCACGCCGCGAGCCTAAAAAATCGCTTGTAAACGCGCGTTGGAAAATAGCAGAGAGCGCCGGTAGGCAACGTGTTAAGCATGGAAGCGTTTACATATTGAGTGCACAGATCGCCATTACAGTCCATGTCTACTTGGACCCCTCTCCCGAGTGGTTCTATCCAACGCTGCTACATGGGGAGCCTTCTCGTCTTCTGGGGAATGGGTCCCATCTATTAGATATTGCGATTTCTGGAATACGGGTGCTCACGAGTAGCTTGCCAGCTCTGACGAGGGACTCAGTAGACTTCGGGCACAAAGCTTAGAGTGTACATAGGTTTATTCTTCAAAAGCGATCACTAATCACCTTCCAGTTATTTCCTAACTACTCGAATGCCAGCTGTTAGCTGAGCCGACGTGGCGTCTATCGGTTGCACTCGCAAAATCTTCAATTACGCATGCATGGGTACGGTAGCAAGAAGACAGAAGGTACAAATCGAATTGGCAGAGAAGAAACATGGAATTTTTCATACTTTTAACTTTCACACTCCAAACACTTTTCCATGACTGGCTGCTTCTCTAGGCAATTACCGCTATAGGCCGAAATCCGGAAGCCATTATGGGTCTGAATCATGATCCATGTCGAATGCCGCGCATCGGAAAGAGACAGTCTAGACGGTGCGATCTATACATTTCCTGACAAGCGATTTTCTCTGTATAAGGTATTGTCATAAATCACCATCGAACATGAATAGAATACCTATGAGGTCTCATTTGCATCACCCTCGAATGAGATTATTACGTCTTGTCTTCTTGGACTTGCAAGTTAGCTGATGGAAACAAAACAGGCAATTTCATGACGTCATAGCGTTTGAAAAGAAATATCAGTCACTTCCTACTATTTTGTTCCTTTGACTTTCCTCTCTGGAAACATCTCAATGGATTTATTTCTTGGAATACCCCATTGAAAACCTATGATTTATGGAATCTAGATAGTTTTGCAGGATGCGTTTCTTAGCCGCTATTGAATTCGTTCACCCGAACATGAAAGGAGAGCTGACATGGTCGAAATTGAATACCGATCTATTATACACAGAGAAGATTGGGAACCTTGTTAAAGCAGGAGGTTTGTGTGCACTTTTAAGGCGTTCCATGTGGTTGGCGACAAAAAAAAAACGGTGGAAAAATCGACTAAAATCCATTTACTTTTCACAAAAGTTCCAGAGAAAGCTTCACAAAATTCGTACATAGCTATAATCTATTCCCTCTTTCCAGCAATAGTGGCCAGTTTAGGTATTCCGCACTCCATGCGACCTTATCTATGGCCACGATTTGCTGGCGCTACAAAAAAGCGCACCGTTGCTGGCTACTCTTACGATGAGGTGTTGCGGCAATCCGCTCAGGATAAACCGTCCATAGGTACTCCTCAAATTATCGGGCCGTTGAAGGTGGAAATTGCAATGCGATGTCATTGGAGCGATTCAGTGCTACTTGATAGTGGGATAGTAATGGTTACGAGAGTACTGCATGTATTTATAAGTTGCACATCTTCTTCGTCTCTTCCCGAAACAACAACAATCTGCCTTTGATAAAGTGAAATCTGTCTCGCTAAGAGGAGACGGAAGGGTATAACTTTTACTCTTCAAGAGCCGCGCGTTGACTGTTAACCACTATTCAATTGGCCGGCTACTGATGGGTTCTGGGATGTTTAAAAGCCATAATGGAATAGGAGGCGCAGAGGGAACAAGACAGATTTCGCGATGCAATAACCTGAGCTGTCACTCAGGCGTGTTATTTGCTTTAGAGCGCGAGCGGTGGAAGTCTTCAAGCTGCTGTCTCTTAAGTTCATCAAGACTATCGTAAAACATGTAAAAGTATCAGGATGAAAATCGGCATCAATTGGAAGTTCAACGGATGGCGTTTATCCTTAGTGATAAAGGATAAAGGATAAAGTTTTTGGCGTTAATCAATCCCGTCTGAGGGATGCGCCCCCGCACTCGACTTCCATTCAGAATCGTAGTGGCGTAATTAGTGCGTATGTGGCCTATACAATGACTTGCGGTGGCCAGCCGATGTACAAGTCAGTGCCTTTATCTTCCCGGGACGAGTCTGGTACCAATTCACCGACCCCGGAGGGATGGAAGGCTTGGTTGGCCTAGGCGGGCATCGATCCGGGATTCGAACCCCTGATCGTGCGTGTGATATAGTGCGCCACTTGCCACTACACCACCTCCGCCCATCTCTAGTGATATCCTCTTTATATATAAAGCGCTAACTTTGCATATCTGTTTGTGTGCCCGTTTGTGCGTCCTCCCAAAAGTCACGTAGGCACGATCAAGAGCGTGAAGATCACAAGAGCACGGTGAGAAAACAGGTATGGAATGGAAAGTCAACAAGTGCTCTTTATATTGGTCCGTTGATTAATATCCATTCTATTTATAACTTCACAGACTAAAAGTCAGAACCCGCCTTAGGACAATCAAACCTCTAGGAACTCGAGAAGGTCAGAATGGAAACAATTCTACGACAACCAATTAGTGTCAAGAGATCAATACCCACAAAGCGGGCATCAGATCGTTCAAATTGCGGAATAACACCTAATGAAGAAACTGTTAGAAAAGAACAGTCTACCAATACTGTTTATATTCGTCCTCTAACAAGACGTAGGTAAGCGGTAGTGGGCATGGCATGGTGCACGCGTTAGTGTGCATACCCCAACTGGTAAGCAAATAATATGGGAAGTAAATCGATAATTAATATTCCATACAAAAAGCAGAACAGTTTGCAATGAAGACATCAGTGATAAAGACACCGGATTAAAATGCAGTGAACCTAAAATCTAGTGTTGGGCAGAATCAGCCCTCGCTATATTGCATCGTCCCCTTTCGATAGACAAAACATTCCACATCCTTTACAACGCTTCAGCATTCATGAACCCACGCGTCACATAGGGAACATCTAAACCGGTAAATGCTTCTATCCTCATCCTTCATGAGATTGTGTTCGGGATTTATCTTGAAATGCCGCACTCTTAAAACCTCCGATAGAAAGAAAACTGCCTTACAAGGATGATTCCAAACGAGCAGTGGTAAGTGATATTCGAAAGAACTCATATTAAGCAGTACAACGGCAGCTCATGCGATAATAACCACTGACAAGATAGTTTTGGAAGGTCTGACAAGGAATGGCAGGTTTAATCAATTAAAGTATATGTGAGCACTCCAAATGTTCTGCTTTATGGTTCTGAATGACATCATGACATCTTTCTACGGATTCAGCCTGAGAGGTAAGTGGTGGATAGTGGAGGTTCCATCGTGATACTTCTCGATGTTCTATGTTAATTCGTACAGTTTCAGAAGCAGAAGCTTTGAAGATGTAATCGTTCCCCCTCTACTCCGAAGAGCAAGCCCGAGTGACAGCTCTGATTACTGTATCACATTCATCGGACGCCGAAATCTTTTTGTGCAAGGGCGTCACAACGGCTAATCTGGCATCTTCTGTAGCATTCAGAGACACAATTCACTATTGAAATGGCCTCTGTGATTTCTGTGAAGATTAACCTGTGACTTCCTACGATAGCACGACAGAGGCTCTCGGGTCAAAAATGGCTAAGATAGGGCGTAATAAGGGTCCCAAAATCGGCTTAGCCGACATACACAACTAAAGCCGACATACACACTAACTAAGCAGCGGCTAATTTTTTACGGCGTTGTAGAGGCAGTGGAGGTTGCACCATTAGCACCGGGATGCGCACGCTGCGCGTGGCGCGTATACTCGAACAGCTCGTCCACACACCGCTCCCATGCAACTTTTGTCGTAACATTCTCGTCCAACCTCTAGCTTCACTACTTTTTCGGAGCCTCCTATTTCGCAGGGCGCTTTCAGAGTACGGCGACGAAAACGCAGGATTCTGAACGCCCGTTGACAGCGCTGAACGCGCGACGGATGTCTCTTGACAACGTTCGAGTCGACAGACGTCCGCGTGCGTCCAGCGTTGTCAACAGACGATGTCCAGCGCTGTAAACGGGTGTCCATTAATGAGCTGTGCCTTGAAACGTCAAATCGACTGTACTCTGATAGCTTACATCCTATCTGGTCGATTTAATAGTTATTAAAAATTCGACATTTTGTTGATAATGGCCTTTCTTAAATTCGGATTTGAAAAATGGTATCTGGGATCATATGCATCCGAAGAAGCATAGTCCAAAAAGGAAGAAAAGGCATTAATTCATCGAATGTCGAATTTCTCATTCCCCCTGCAAATCAACGCTTGCTGACTACAATACTGCTCGTAATTCATGGCCAACCGATGGTTTGCGACGGATTAATCCGTCGCAAGCCGTCGCATAGCCATAACTTCAGCTAATGTACTCCTCTCACGCTGAAAGTAATATCATCGCTAAGCTCTTCTCTTGAAGATTCCAAATGTATAATAATCTTTCAATTTTCTTGATTTTCGCCTTCTTTTTCGGGAAAAACGGAACGTGAGTCCTCAGCACCTGGGGTGTTACTTGCGGATATGACAGCATCCTAGCCCTCCACTTCAATTGAAAACTTCGTTCCCGAATTTCAAAGGGTCTGAATCGTGCTATAACTGAGGAAAGCATAGAAACTTTATCATTTTGATACCCTTCATGACATAATTTAAACACTTTCAGCTGAAAGCAGCGGTGCAAAGCCGATTACCAGGTTTTTAGACGTTTGTTATATCTTTCAGCCACGTATGTCGTATGACGACCGTACGATTGTTTGTGGGAAACCCTGTCATGTCATGATTTTTAGTTTTTCGTTTTCGCAGCGTCACTTTCATGGAGGTCAACGAGTGAAATCTTCATTCTGAGCTTTTAAAGACATTTGGAATATGAATACATGAAATCGTGGTCATTTCGATATCCTTATTGATAAAGTTCCAGCTAAAAACAGTGATTTCTATGATCAACTTTTCCAGAATCTGCTATTTCAGAAGTGCACCTTCTCGGAAACGAATTATTCTGCATTTACTAAGACTTCCATTATGTGACCTGATATTCTGATAATAGAACGATGAATGGCATCCCAATTGGACGTTGAGCTAATTGACCCCTCACCATCGATATCTACTGGGCCATCGCTCTCGCTATTGCTGAGTCCATTCAAGAGTACGCCTGTTGACGCATATTTTATGCAGCTGGCAGAAGGGGAGGCGGTCGTTTGGCGCGGCCCCTCGCACCCACCTTGCCATTGGGGCGCATAGGCTCGTAATTGCCTCCTTGGCGCCGCCCATTCGACTCGGTTTGTGAGCTGGTCAATTCGTCCAGTTGATTCAACCTCCCGACAATGCTAATCAGCCTATCCACTGCCCTTCCAGCTGATAGACGCCCGATCGATAACGCCGCTAAAATCAGACGCTGAATTGACCTACCAGTATCGTGTGTATTTCTACCGCAAATTTA